CCCTTCAAGGCACCATTTGGTGCCACCAGGTTCCAAACTGTCTTGGGCCGGCCAATGACACGCAAATGTTTATGTTGCTCATTTGAAAGGGCTCGTTTGAAAGGCTGCTTTTGGAACATCACCCTTTAAGGGAAGGGGGGGAAGGAGCAGTGAAGAGCTTGACCAAGTACATCCCATTACTCTCATGGTCATCTCATCTCTTCAGGAATGGCGTAGGGCTCTCTCCTCTCGAAACTGCCAACAGCTTAAACACATGTATGGTTAGGACTCCCTTGCAAATAAACCAATTAATTGTGCTCTGTTCAATGATTCAATGACGGCCAACTCCATCTGTAGCAATTAGTTCATTTTAATTAAATAACTCACCCAGTGAAGTATTTGGGTTCATGTCCATCATTCCCAGTTTTTATTGTGTGCTGTTTTCTCTATGCACATCAGGCTGGCCCCTATGACATGTCTCCCTAAATGAGGTATCTGTCACTTGACAATGCTATTGTTTTGTTTTGTTTTACTGTGATTGCAGTATTCATTTAAAGCAGTGGTATACCACTTTAAAGAGTCATGGCTTCCTCCAGAGCACCCTGGGAACTGAGTGCTGAGAGTTGTTACGAAATTCACCCCATTTCCCTCCAAGAGCTGTGATTCCTAGGAAAGAGAGCCTGATTGTCAAACCACTCTAGAAATTGTATCTGTGAGGGGGAAAGGGGTCTCCTAAATTCACACTGAAGTACTGATGGATTCTCATGAGGACTTGATGTGGTTGTGTGGAGACCTAGCAGTTGGAAAAAATGAAAACTAGGGTATAAATCAGTATATAATATGGTGTGCCTTATATAAATTGTTGTGGTTGTTGCTATTGTTGTTGTCTGACCCATTACTGTCTGAGTCCTGTAACAAGAAAGTGGAGAAACAATTAATAACAAAGAAGCTGCAGTAATAGGAAACCAGTGTATTCAGGTGTTTGAAATCGGAAGTGGGTTTCATGAATATACAGGAATTCCTTTACGATGCCCTAGTATTCTGTATGTTTTAAAGTACTGTTGTGAGTTTTTCTTGGTTTTCTTGTTTTATCCTTTTATAAACCACTTTGTGGGTTGCTTCTTCTTTCTTACAATGAAGAGGTGTATAAATAAAATAATCCTGTATTTTGAATTTGCTTTTCATCATACATTTTCTATTTTATGTTGGAGAAACATCATGGTGCACCTGTAGCAGCAAAATTGGATGTCTTCATCTGCCCCACTTCCAATAAAACATGTCTCATCCATACTGGCCTCTAAAGGTTTGTTGTTGTTTTTTAAGGTAAAGGATCCCTGGGTTGCGGCGCTCATCTCGCTTTCAGGCCAAGGGAGCCAGTGTTTGTCCACAGACAGCTTTCTTGGCCATCTTGCCAGCTTCTGGCTCAACAGAACAACATGATGAAAGCCAGAGCACACAGAAACACCGTTTATCTTCCTGCCGGAGTGGTAACTATTTATCTACTTGCACTGGCGTGCTTTCAAACTGCTAGGTTGGCAGAAGGTGGGACAGAGGAACGGGAGTTCACCCCACCACGGGGATTTGAACAGCCGACCTTCCGATTGGCAAGCCCAAGAGGCTCAGTGGTTTAGACCACAATGCCACCTGTGTCTCTACACCCACAGCAGATGCTGTAACTCTCCAATGATTTGACTTTACCCCTGAAGACATACTCTTCCACTGTGTCCTGTGACAGATGGATGCCAACAATATGCAACTATCACACCCAAAATTCAATAAAAAATAATTGCGTAAAAAGAGAAAGAGAAATTGAAATGGACAGTTTTCCAATATTTCCCTCCCCATTCTTGCTTCGATTCTTTGGGAGAAGGTAAGGAGACCACCCCCCACCTCCTGACTTCTCTCACTTTTCACCAAATCTTCATACACACACACAAACACACACACACCAATAGCCTGCTAAAAATAGTATCTGGGGAAAGCCCCTCCTCTCCACAACACTCTATAATTCAAGCCCTGCTTGCTATCAACTAAACATTAAATAGCAATAGTACTCGTAAGAAAACTAAGATCAAAGAACTCTTTATACTCATTCCATTCAAAAATCAGAGAGAATCGAGTCAGTAATATGTCATAGAAGATCACAGCTTCCTTGCATATTCACAAAGGTATTGCGGGGGGGGGGGAGGTTGAAATGAGATTATATTACCATGACCCAAATTGTCGCTATCGTAAAAAATAAGTTATTAACTCTGACAATTAGCACTTTAAAGAGGGGTTACATATTAGAGAGGATCTACACTACAGTGTGTAATTGAATTTAGACAAGGCCTTAGCCCAAATGGGCCTTGCCAGAGGGACCCGAATGTTGGTCAGGTTGCATTGAGACAGCCCCAGATTGTGGCTGGTTGGTTTGGGAGGGCTCAGAGCATTCGGGGACTGTTAGGGGGTGGTGCATCAGGCAGGAAGCTGTGTCAAGTGTGGGCGGGGAGAAGGAGAAACTGCCAGAGAAAGGGACCCGCCGGGCATCTGTATTGTAGCAAAATTAACATTTGAGTCTGAAGGAAATCTCCACGTGGCAGTCAGAAAACAAAGGGTGTTTATTGCCAGCAATAAAGGCTCAACCAAAAGCTGAGCAAAGCCCAAAAGGGTGGGGCCTGCTTTATATACATAGCTGTTATTTGTTAAAGCAATACATATGCATAAACTTCCTCCAATCTAAAGTCACAACACAATACTAATTGTACCATGTAGGGTCTTTCCTTCATTACCTGTTCATTATGCAAGGAAACAAAGGACTCTCTCTTGTCAAATGTAGACACTTAGGAATGTTGTTTATAACCTTGGGACTAAAGCTGCTCCTAGCACAAGATAAGGCACTTACAAAGAAACAACAGACACAAGGCCTCTAGCCTGGCTAGTTAGCTGAGGTTATAGGTCTCTATGTGCATCAGTATCTTCATGGAGAAAGGTAGGGATGAGGATGGAATGGCCTTTCCCGCCCAGTCTCTCCTTCTTCCCAACACAAAAGCAGCGCCAAACAAGATTGAGTCTTCACGCTTACCAGCCAATTCTGCACGGTGCTGGTTGCTGTTCCTTTGCGTGCTGAGAAGCCACTTGCATAGAAGTAGTAACCTGTCAGCCTCTAGTGAAGGGCCTTTGACAGGCGGGTGAGACAACCTGTCGGCCATCGGGCATTATAATGGCATGATGTGATTGACAGGGGGTTGTCCCACGCACCTGTCAATGTTGGCCCATAGGAAGACATAATGATCTGGTCTTTCACGCCAAAAATGTTCCCCATTCCTGATTTAGAGCTTTAAAAAACCCAAAAAACAAAAACCTTGGCAATTGACCCTGTTTGGGGTCAAGGAACAGTCTGTAACTTTCTTGCTGCTAAACTGCAAGTCTCACTGTAGAAGAAGAAGAGGAGTATGGATTTGTTATCCCGCTTTATCACTACCCGAAGGAGTCTCAAAGTGGCTCACGATCTCCTTTCCCTTCCTCCCCCACAACAAACACTCTGTGAAGTGAGTGAGGCTGAGACTTCAGAGAAGTGTGACTAGCCCAAGGTCACCCAGCAGCTGCATGTGGAGGAGCAGGGAAGTGAACCTTGTTCACCAGATTACAAGTCCACTGCTCTTAACCACTACACCACACTGGTTCTCTTAACCACTACACCACCACTCTTAGCCACTACACCACAGTGTACCAATAACTTGCAAGGTCCACTGTGCTCAGTCACAGGTGAAGAGATGGAGGGGTGAGGGTCAAGGCTGGGCTTTGCACAGATCCATTTGCTGTGCCTGAATCATAACAATTAAGCAGCCACCAAACCATTTGAATCCAGCCTCTCTCATACGACATTCATGTAGGCCAACCAAAAGTATTAACAGTGGGGTGCACATCAGAAAAACATAAAAAAAGGAGGGCAGTTGAAAAGCACTTTGGCTCCTAACAATCATGGGCTGTATTTTAACCCTCGACATGTCAAGCATTGGCATGTCCCCTGGGGGATTGAAGATCTAAGGTTAACAACTTTGTGTTTTAAAAATTCATTGAAGTACGAACGATATTGTTGCCACTGAACATACTTTGCAAGGAGCCAAGGGTGGAGAGAGAGAGAGAGAGAGAGATACCCCCATAGGATACTTGGCAGTTAACTCCAGCACTGTCAGCAATCTTTGGAGAAATTTCTGAAACGTGGCAAAACCCTCGCCTTCACTGCACGCAAGACAAAAAGCTTCTGCAGCGACAACAGCCAGCATTGCGATATGTGTGTGTGTGTGTGTCTTAGTTCTTAACCAAGCCGCTAATCACGCAAATTATTGCGACTAATTACATCTGAAGGTCTAATTAATTCTTTCAGTACCACATCATTTAGTACGCATTCACAACACAGCACCTGTTTTGAAAATCCTCGCAGTTAATTTGTTTATAAACAAACACTATTTGCATAAAATGTTTAATGACTGGTTTAACCGCCACTACAATACTCCCGCTTTGTCTTAGCAGAGCCGAGGTCATCGAAGGCCACCATAAATTAATTTTAAACTATACAAATTAATTTAAATAGAATGTGCGAATTTCTCATTAATAAAGGAAACATTTCTAACATGTTAATTAATATCTCTGTAACAGGCTAATTACTGTCTGCATAACAAGTGCATCTACTACCCTACCTTAAAGGGTATACTAAAAAAGAGAGAGGGGGGAGAGATACCAACAGAGCAAAACATTCTGCACGTACACTCATCATAATTATGTCTGGAATACATTTCAGGATAGCAGAAAGAGAGAATGAACAACCACTTCAGTATTTTAAAAAATGGCTATTTAAGTCAGCTCTGCCTAACTTAAACCGTCTTGGCCACTACTGTCAACTCTCACTGAATAGAGGAACACTGGAAGCTGCCTTATACTGAATCAGGCCATTGGTCCATCTAGCTCAGTATTGTCAACACTGACTGGCAGCAGCCCCCCAGGGCTTCAGACAGGGAAGTTTTCTCCAGCCTACCTGGAGATGCTTCCAGGGATTGAACCTGGGACCTTCCGAATGCAAAACAGATGCTCTCCCACTGAGCTAAGAACAGTCCTGTTGGGTTCAGGCTGGAGTCCTCTCTGCTAGTCCAGCATTCTGCTTCCCACAGTGACCAATCAGAAGCCTCCGGGAAGCCCACAAGCAAGGAGCAAAGCCAGGAGCAGGAACAGTTGGTAAAGGAAGAACAAGCTGGAATCTTCAGAGCCGCCTCCTCATTTTTCATAGTTGCTACCTTCACCCTCAGTTGGCACTCTCCCAATGCTAGTCTCTGAACTCGGTCCTGAAGGTAAGATTGGAACCACGGTAATACAGTGCCCTCCATTCGCATTTCCCAAAGATGATCCAGAAGGATACCATGGTCAAACATAGAAAGCAAGAATGCACTTAATTTTAAACCTTACAGTCACACCTTAATCTTGGCAACCATATCACATGGACATGTCTTCAGCACTTGACCTGAAGGAATTTGTGACCAAAAAAACCACAAAGGAAAAGGCATGCAAAGTGAGATTTGGATGCACCTGACATTGAAACTTTTAAGAGACTTAAGCTTTAACATCACAGTTCACAAGGTAGTTCAACATGATTTGTGTGCGCTGAAACATTTTCTTCTGTATTTGAGGAAGATAATCAAATGTTGTTCTATTACTTATTCTTGCCATTTAAAATAAATTTAGCAATTTCACATTTTTTGCTTTTCGTTTTTTTCCCCTACAAGACATCTGTTTTTGAAAAATCGTGTCCTCCCTAAGAGAGGGCACATGTTGCGGTGAGACCTGGAGTCTGACCTCCTGTGTTGCGGGTGGGTTGAATTGGTTAGCCACAACACCCAATTGGTAGGTCCCTCGATGTTGGGTACAGTCTGGCCAATGAGGTGCAGTCTAAACACATCGAGGTACCTATATATACCCATGCACGTGACCCAGAGCTTCCTCTTTCAGCTTGTGCATTCGGAACAGCCGCCCACCTCTCCCTAATTTTAGGGCATTGTGTGCTTGACCTTGCTATCCTGCCGTGTGTCGTCTGTCGTTGGGACAGGGGCAAGGCAGGAATTTCCCCACTTGGCTGATTGGCTGTTGCCATTTGGGTTTCGCCTGCCGTGTAGCAAATCATCACAACTTGTAAGGTTGCAGATAGGCACTGGTTCAAGGTGATAGGGATGGGAGAGTGGTCTTGCCATCCCTATGTAAAGGGTATTCCGTTAAAGGAATCCAGGGACTCAACTGGTTTGGTCAACCCCCGAGAGGGGGTTGTGCCCATGCCTGAGTCCAGGGGGGCATCTGGGTGGTGAACATAGTCTGTTCCTGGCTTTTCGCCTACCCAGGTGTTCACCCTTGGCTGACCTATGCTGGTGCCCTGGGTCAGCACTGCCTGCAAGGGTGCAGGGAGCTAGCCACTAACCTTCTGTAATCAATAAAGTTGTGGCCTAAATTCTGCCAAAAACCAAAACTAAAATTTAAGTCAAGTGTGATTTTATTTAGGGGGGAAGTCTGAACACACAATTGAAGTTAGCAAATTTGGGGGGGCTGGGGGTGCAGGTAGGACTCAAAATAGCCAACACCAACATGGTTTGTTATATGTACTTTTAAGAACTGAAAAATAAAGTTAAGAAGAGGGATAGAAATGTCTCCCATTGCAGATCCCTTAGAAATGCTACTTCCTATGTCCCTCTATGGTGAGAACTGTTCCCAATAGCCAGTTCAGGTGTAGGGGGATGTCAGTCCAGAGCCTGATAATACCACCATTGCTATGGAAGGTGTAGCATAGATCTGACAGCTTAGCACATGCAGCCAAGGTAGCTTCAGTAAGTACATTGGTAGTACATACTTTCATTTCATTTGAGAATAACATCACACACAAAAAGTTATTCCAAGATTGCAAAATGTGCTTCTACCTTAGATGACACATGCATCCCTCCACATGCTTCCATATATGGGGACCACATAAAGAAATACACTTCTAATTAGTAATCAACCTTCCTGCGATTCTCACAGCCTGCCTGGAAGTTCTGTGTGCAAGAATGAGGGCTGCCCCTTCGCGATATAGACAGACCCTACAAAGAAAATTAAATATAATCAGCCTGCCTTCCTATCGAGCATATTCTTTGCATGAGTCATCCTTGAAATATGTTTATAGTTCCGAAGTTTGTTTCTGATTTGCAAGCATTTTCACATTTGATAAGCACCTGTTGTAAATTTCCATCCACTCATGAACCATTCTTACGATGGGGAGCTAGGAACTGTAAAATATATTTATACATCCTTCACCTGGTGGAGTGTTGCCCCTTAATGCACATTCTGATAAATTCATATCATTGAATTTCCCTGGGCTTTGTAGTGGAAGAAGACCCACTTCAAAAGGAATGTGACTGTTCTGTTCTGAGGGTCGCACTCCTTTCTCACCAATCTTCTGGGGGCCTCTTGCCAGTGGTGGGCAGGACCAGAGCCAAAAACAGACAGAACAACTGATGTAGGTGTCACCTCTGTACAGTAGGTTAGTGTACTCTCTCTCTCTCTCTCTCTCTCTCTCTCTCTCTCTCTCTCTCTCTCTCTCTCTCTCTCTCTCTCTAGGCAAGGGAAAGGCATTATCACAGTTCAAAGACACATGACCAGCCAAGCAAAAGCACTTGGGGAAGGTTGCAAAGCAGAGCTGGTAAGTGCTGTGTTTGCTTGGGATTATGGGCTATGAAACAGTCCCAAGAGCTAGACAGAAATTGGGCTCTGAGGTTCCCCATTCCTGGTGTTTACCAAGTGAGCTCTTTCAGCATGAAGTAGTGGTTAGGGTGTTGGACTACCTGGGAAACCAGGCTTCAAATCCCCACTCAGCCACAAAGCTCATCCTGGGCCACAGTCACTCACTTTCAGCCTAACCTACCTCGCAGGATTGTTGTGAGGATAAAATGGGGAGGAGGAAAACAGTGGCGGTAGACAGATTAGTAAGTAAAAAGCTGCATTTGATTTGACAAGCAGTCCTTGCATAAATATCCATTGACCCCACATTTTCTTCCAACTTGAAAGCACAACTCCCTCCCCACTTTTAAGCAGGGGTCGAGGAGTGGTGGCTCCTCCAAACATTGCAAGTCGACTGCAATTCTCCTTGTCCCTGGCCATTAGCCATGATGGCTGGGGGATGATGGGGAGCTGGAATAAAACAGCGTCTGATGGGCCACATCTTCTATAAAGCTTCTGCAATATGGAAGCTGAGTGAAAGGCAAATGGGTGGTAGGAGGGCCCTTCACTTCTTCAGACCATTTCTGCTGGAGATACAAACAGGGAGATACAAATGGAAGTGTGCTGTTGTAACACTCTCTTTGCAGTTTGTCTGCTTGTTTCGTAAAATGTATACGCTGCTTGATTTACAAAAACAACAGTGCGGTTTACAAAAAAACAAAACAATATAATGTACAACAATCGTTTAAAACATAGAAAAAGTTAAGATACTAAAACAGGTTAAGATTCACACCAGTTTTCTAAGCATCCGGCTTTTCTAAACAAGAATGTTTTTAGCAGGATTGGGGACATTCTTGGGCTTGAATCCTGCTTGCTGGTTTCCCGCATGCAGCTGTTCAGTCCCTGTGAGAACAGGATGCTGGACTAGATGGGCCATTGGCCTGATCCAGCAGACCTCTTCTTATGTTCTTATGTTAAAGCATGGGACAGTGGATGCTTCTTTAGAATGCTAATCTCATTATGGGGGAGACTGGCCTGTATCTTTTCCCATTCTGCTTTGGTCAAGCCCTAGCGAAAGCTCAATCTCACTTTGCTACCAAAGCTCCAAGGGCCTTGAGGATTTGCATTTGGTGTAAACAAAGCAGACTTTTAATTCGAGGAGATAACGCGGCCAGCAGCACAGCTGTTTGCGGGGGAGCAAGGCCAGAGCAGGGCTGGAACCACCCCTCTGCTTTGTTCAACTTTTAATAAGTTATGGGACACACACCCCACTTTCCCATGCCCAAACGGTACCCTAAGTAACACTCCCCACTTCTCCACCATCACCACCTCCCCATTCACCTATCGCTGACATGCCACGGACACCCCAAATGGGCTCCCTCCCCATCGAGGGCTCTGCAAAGAAAAGGCGGCCGCCGTGTGAAAAATTATCTTTTAAAATGGAGTTTAATTTGCATATAAGGAACGGGAGATTTATGGCACGCAGCCTAGCTCGGCACTGCATCTGCCTAGGATCAGTCGTAATTTAGATGGCTTGTGACCGATCTTAAATTCTAAAGCACAGGGAAGATGAAGTGCTCTGTTGCCATGTTATTGTCAGGAGTCTAAGACTTACCAGAGATTTATTAGTAATCTTATCACAAACATGTCTCAAGTTTTTGCTTTTAATATGGGCCAAGCTCCTCTGAGGAATGTGCCTCCCTGCAATTATATTTCTGAATGCATGCATTCTGAAGCTTAGTTGATTTCCTTCCCAAAATAAAGCGACCCATCACAGCACTACAGTAGCTCGGGCACATTTTTCCTCTGCTACTTAATAATCAATGTATTCATCATTTTAAAAAGAAAAAGAAAAAGAAATCCTGAGGCCCGAAGCAATGGTTTTTTAGCATATTCTAATGACTAGCGACTTGCAAATTACATTGACCTTTCATGTACATTCTGTAAGCACCTTGTTCTAATGTGTACTGTATTTATAGTTTGCCAATACAAACTAGCCAAAGATTGGATAATTACTGTAATCTATTAGCTCGATTGCTTTGCCTGCTCATTTGTAGCCTGGGCCACGCCAAGCCATTTTCCAAAGCTGCCCTATCTTTCATCTGCTGCAAGCTCTGAAACTCAGGATGGAAGGCTTGTCTTCATGTTAGATGCTCTTGCGTTGCCGGCCAATGTACGTCTACTCAGGAGTAAGTCCTATGCCATTGCATGGGGTTTACTCCCAGCTAGGGGTGGACACAATCCGTCAATTCCAGCTCCTCATTTTTCCAACCTCAATCTCATTTCCCCCACATTTCCATATAAGATTCCAGTTTATATATTTTTAAAAGCTGTACAAAAATGTGTCCGCTTTTCTTTAAAGATACACATTTTGTTACGCAATTG